AAAAAAAAAAAAAAAAGAAGAAGAAGAATAAAAGAGTTCCAATAGGGGATAAGCGGAAAAACAAAAATTTGTTGACGTAAAATTTGCCATTGGTTAGCAGCCACTAAATGCAACTAACACTGTACGTTTGTGCCTTTTATCAGTATATTTTTATCCGTATTGTCTGACTATTCCTATGCATTGTTTCTTGAAACTTTATTTGTTTTCCATCCTTTCACTTTGCATTGATTTCAGTTGAAGTAGCCTTTCAAAAGCAGCGGTTTTGCTGTGCAGTTTTGCCCTATTCAGAAGAGCACTTTTTAGGTTGCTACTCTGATATATTTTTGTTTAGGCTCCCCTCTTGAAGCTGTTTGCAAATAAACTTGTTATTAGTTTTGGAGAATATTCCTGTACAATTTAATAATGTCGCTGTTTAGCAGACCAGAAGAAACGTACATTTTTTTCTGGAATTTATATTGTTATCTTGTTCTGGTTAACTATCTATTTCTAGGGGCCATTGGCGGTGTTTCGGTTATGCTTACCGTCGTTAAAGTTTCCATCATTTAGAAGATGAGGTACTTGTCCATAGTGTTATTCATTATTTTGCCACTGGTATGTGATGCAACTTTGTCGAAATCCGACAGAAAAGTAAGGAAGCAAAAACCGTCTTCGAACGAAAAGGCGGAATCAAAGGTTCGCTTGAATTGGTTACTTGCTAGCCACCAACAAAGTTACCCCTTTGTACTTCGTCGTTTACGTTCTTACTGTTAGACTGGAAGAAGCGGTGATCATCAGGAACTAGTAAAACTAAAAGAAGTCGAAAAAAAGCATTTGTTGGAGGAGAAGGACGTTATATATCACAACGAAAAGATATTTCCGAACCCTACTCTTGCCTATGTAACTCCGGTTGGTTTTTACTAGATCAAAAAACAGTAAATATCATATTTTTATGTTTTAAATATCATGTACTAAGTTTTACAACAGAAAATAAAAGCGACGCCGGTTGAAGTAATGCAATACGCACAAGAAGATTTTGCTGCTTCATCTACATATCGCTTAAACACCATTGTTCTTTGTTTTGTGCAAGAAAAAAATTTGTTTTTGTCATTGTCGCCGTCAGTTCTTGCTGATTAACTCTTAGTTTATTAAGTTATCTTAGTTTCAATATTTTAACTCATCAATTGATTTAGTTCAGTGGTTGTACCCAATTACTTTAGTGGAATGGCAAGGGCTACGATGTGGCTAAGTTTGCAGCAAAAAAGTTCACTCATATTTCACCAGTGTGGTTTCAAATAGTTCCGTCTGTTAGTGAGAAGTCATGTATAATTGAAGGGACGAACGATATTGATCAGGGTTAGCTTATTCCTTATTTAGTCTTTTTTCCTGCGCATGCTTCATAAAATAGTGATTTTGACTACACAAAATGATTTATTGTATAAAAGACTGCCTATTCCGTATTTATTTTTCATTTTCAGAAACTTCTGTATTTTTCAACATTACAAGTCACTCAGATAAGACAGTAAAACTTACATAAATTACGCAGTAGTTTTCACTTTTAGGTTGGCTTGCCGACGTACGTTCGAATAATTCAAATATCTTATTTGTTCCTCGCTTTATTTTTGAGAAGTGGACCGAGTCAGATTACATCAGTTTCCTGAGTAACGAAGGCTGGCAAAATAATTGCGTCAAGCGCGTGATAAGCCTTATAATGGTTAGATTTAGTTTTTCCCACTTTGATCTCACTTGAGGAGAAAAATAAGTGCACATCAACTGCACCTCATATGTAGGAACAGTTTGTTATTCAACGTACTTTTTCTTCAGTAATTGTTGTTTCTTTTTTGGTTTTATCATACTGAAGAAAGCTGTTTGTACGATAAAATTTTAGAGAAATAAAATGGATGGCGCTGTGTTGGAAATTTGGATGCAGATCACAAGCGTCATTTCTTTAGATTTTCGCACGTAAGACTTAGTTTTAACGTATCTTTTGCTAATTTTATTTTATATTTGGATCTGTTTTGTTCTTTCCAGGGAGGTTCTAGAGTTTATATCTGCCGTAGGAACTCTGTTTCATAAAAACAACCTTCAGCTCATTCTGACCATTCCAGCTGAACTGAATGCTGGGTTAGTTGTCCATTGTTGGCTTGAAGAAGAGATCAAAAAACCGAATGATTGGGATTGAATTAGATTCGACTGTGCCAGTTTGAAGTCACTAAAACGTATTTTCTGAAGTTTCTAAAGTTTATTTTTGTTTGCTGTCTGGCATATTCTCAGGTTTCTGTTTTTAGGTCTGAACCAATAGGTATGACTGCTCCGTCGGAACTCACTGCACTTGCAAAGAGCGCAGACTATATCCACGTCATGACTTATGATTTTAAAGGCGACAGGTGAGCCACTCTCTTCCATCTTTTCATATAAATGAGGGCTTTTTGCGGTAACAAAGCGGAGTAGCTAAGCAGTTCTTTTTCTAAAAGTTTACTGCTCAATTAGCATCTCTTATAATCGGCCTTTGATTTTACTTTATTGAAAAGTGATTCTTTCAACTTGATTTGGATCAGAATGTTTACATTGCGTTTTCTTTGCGGTTGCATTTTTTTGAAATAATCACTGACCGGGTAAATTTTTACAGCTTTTAGGCTTCGAGGAGTGTCACCATTGTTTTGGATCCGCGACAATATAGGGTATTTGCTAGCGGGAGCTCCGTCAGTTGTGTCTAAACTTCTCATAGGGATTAATTTTTATGGATATCAAATAAAAGAGAGGAAATTTTCTCCCGTAACTGCAGAGGGGTAAGGAGATTTATGTTTGGCTTGTGACATCTCGGATCTCACTTTCTATGTATGTCACACTGCCAGAGTCAATTTAATCAACCTAGTTCAGATTCAGAAGCCTGTTGATGGAAAGTGATACAGAAGTTTTCTGGGATGACTTTTCTGAAGAAAAT